AGAGCGGTGGTTCATGGGAGAATTCATGAGAACTCGACATCTCGCGAAATTTCCAGCCAAAGGAACGAGATTTGAAGATGTGGGGGAGGGCGGAGGAGAAAGGGAGTGTGGAATATGTTTGACAAGATCTGAAAACGAATTCCCCCCCTTAGGAACCGTCTCAAAATTCTTCTTTTTTGTTTCCAGAAATGAAGTTATGGATTCTAAATATCAATCAATTAAAAACAGGTTTGTTCAGAAACAGACTCAGAGACTTAGAGGACGAACTTATGGTTACCAGGAAGAAAGGTGCGGGGTGGGGGGGAAGGATCGTTAGGGAGTTTGGGATTGACATGTACACACTGCTCTATTTAAAATGGATAACCACGGCTTCCCTGGTGGCACAGTGGTTAAGACTCCACGCTCCCAATGCCGGGGGCCCGGGTTCGATCCCTGGTTGGGGAGCTGGATCCCACATGCTTGCTTCAACTAAGAAGTCCACATGCTGCAGTGAAGATCCCGCATGCCGCAACTAAGACCCGGCTCAACCAAACTAAAATAAATATTGAAAAAAAAAAAAGGGATAACCAACAAGGACCTACTTACTGTATAGCACAGGGGGCTCTGCTCAATATTATGTAGCAACCTAAATGGGAAAAGAACTTGAAAAAGAATAGATACATGTATATATATAACTGAATCACTTTGCTATACACCTGAAACTAACACAATATTGTTAATCAGCTATATTCCAATATAAAATTAAAAGCTTTAAAGAAAAGGTTTGTAGTTCTAGGACAAGACCACCTATTATTAGGTATAGACAAGACATTTATTCGTCAGCATTTGTTAGGTTTGGTTATGTGATTATATGAAAATAATTTGTAAAGGGACAATTAGGAAGATGCAAAGGATGGGATGTAATTATGCTAATCAGAAAATTCTCAGTTTAAGACCATCACCCAATCAATTGTAAAGTAACCCTTGTGAAGGATATAATATCAGAAGGGTCTTGTTCAAGAATGCGGTCTGGTTTCCCCACTGCAACTTGTAGATCTTCATATGGGAAACGATATCTGTTCCTTGAAAACAAAAATGCCAAGGGACATTTTCTTCCTCGCCAAGGTCATCTGTCTGGTTATTCCTTTACAGTCACTGGTGGTGTGACTGCTGTTAGATTTAGGTCTTCCTTTTACGGCCTCTGTGATTTTCCTAGAAAACTTAAATGAACTCTTTAAATTGTATTTGATATACATATATTTCCTTCAATCTGTTTTTAATTCTTTATTTTAATTTTATTATATGTATTGTGCAGAAATTTTAATTATTAAAACAATAGTGTACTGCAAACAGGGGTAATCCTTAGCAATCAATTGATTTGTTCATTCATCCATTCAGTGAATATTCATCAAACACTTATGTGCCTGCCGTTGTGCTAGATGCTATGCTCTAAGAGGCACTAGGAGAGTCTCAGCCATCAAGGAACCCACAGTCTTAGAATGAGGGTAAGGACAGAGAGATAGGGAACTAAGAGGTGAACAGCCAATTAGAATACAGTGTGAACTTGCTAAAGTAGGGTGAGCACTTAGAGTAGGAAAGCCTCCCCTGAGCAGATGACAAGGTGGCTGCACCATGAATGACCAGGAGGAGCTAGCTGGCCATGGCAATACAGAAAGAGAAAAATAACTATTATTACCAGCAAGAAAATTCTGCTATGGGAACTGCAATTGTCTGGATTCTTTTTGGGTGTGGGTGGGGCGAGGTAAGGTGGAGTGGCAAACCTGATCTGGAAGGAACCTATTTGTCTGCCAAGGAGTTTGAAGTTTACCTTAAGGTCAATGAGGGACTTTTCAAAGTGTTTAGACTCTTGGGGGATGGGTGAGGCGACTTGATCAGATTCACTTTTGAAAAAATCACTCCACAGGGAGACATTTGGGATGCCTCAGGGGCAAGAGCAGAGGCTGGCAAAAGATGGTGGTGGCTTGAACTGATCAGGTTCGGTTTAATATTTTTACAAAGAGAATGGAGAGTGGTGGATGAATTCAAGAGATTTTGGTAAAACTCACATGATTTCCTGACTTGTAAGCTGTAAAAGTTGGTACTTTTGTGCCTTGCCTGGAATCAACTTCTTCCAAACTCCTGTGAATGTTCTTAATGGCAACTAGAATGGTGAATCCTTTACAGAAGGTTTTCAATTGGCTTTGCCCAGATCATCAGAGGAATCACTATCTATGGCAGCTATAGCCTTACGAAATGTATTTCTCAAATGAGACTTCAAAGCCAAAATTACCCCTTGATCCACAGGCTGCAGAATGGATGTTGTGTTAGCAGGCATGAAAACAACATCAATTTTCTTGTACATTTTCATCAGAGCTCTTGGGTGACCAGGTACATTGCCAATGAGCAGTAATATTTCAAAAGAAATCTTTTTTTCTGAGCAGTATGTCTCAACAGTGGGCTTAAAATACTCAGTAAACCATGTTGTAAACAGATGTGCTGTCATCAGGCTTTGTTGTTCCATTCATAGAGCACAGGCTGAGTAGATTTAGCATAATTCCTAAGGGTCCTAGGATTTTCAGAATGGCAAATGAGCATTGCCTTAACTTCATATCACCAGCTCCATTAGCCCCTAACAAGTGTCATTCTGTCCTTTGAAGCTTTGAAGCCAGGCATTGACTTCTCTCTAGCTATGAAAGTCCAAGATGACATCTACTTCCAATAGAAGCCTGTTTCATCTACCCTGAAAGTCTATTGTTTAGTATAGCCACATTCATTAGTTATCTTAGCTAGATCCTCTAGATAACTTTTCTTCTGCTTCCTCACCTCTCTCAGCCTTCACAGAATTGAAGAGAGTTAGAGCTTTGTTCTGGATTAAGTTTTGACTTATGTGATATTGTGGCTGGTTTGGTCTTCTGTCAACTATCCAGAGCACTGAAACTTTCTCCATACCAGCAATAAGGCTGTTTCACTTTCTTATTATTCTGTGTTTACTGAGTAGCACTTCTAATTTCCTTCAAGAACCTGCGCCGCAACCCCCCTCCACCCCATAACTCGGCCAACTGCTTGAGGCAAGAGGCTTAGCTTTTGACTTGTCTTGGTTTTTGGCATACTTTCCTCACAAAGCTTCATCATTTTTAGCTTTTGATTTAAAGTGAGGGATGTGTGACTCTTCCTTTCACTTGAATACTTAGAGGACTTTGCTATTTTTTTTAATTAAAAAATTTTTAAAAATTTTTTAATTTTTGGTTGCACCTTGCAGCTTGTGGGATCTTAGTTCCCCAACGAGGAATTGAACCTGTGCCCTTGGCAGTGAAAGCATAGCATCCTAACCACTGGACCATCAGGGAATTCCCTGGGGGCCTTTGTTGAGTTATTAGTTGGCCTCATCTCAATATTGTTGTGTCTCAGGGAATAGAGAGGTCCCAGAAGAGGGAGAGAGGTGGGAGAATGGCTGGGCAGTGGAGCCGTCAGAGCCCACACATTTATTGATTAATTTTGCTGTCTTATATGGGCGTAGCTCATGGCACCCCAAAATAATTACAATAGTAACATTAAAGAGCACAGATCACCATAACACATATAATAATCATGAAAAAGTTGGAATTATTGCCAGAATTACCAAAACGAGACACAAAGTGAGCAAATGCTATTGGAAAAATGGCGCTGATAGGCCTGCTCCAGGCACAGTTGCCACAAACCTTCAATTTGTAAAAACCTTAAAATCTGGGAAGGGCAATAAAGTGAAGCACAATAAAACAGGTATGTCTGTATAACAAAGGAAAACTAGCTTTATGAATGACACCTCCCAGAGGTATTGTGTATTTGATTGAATGGAGGAACATGAATAGCTAAAGGAAGTATTTCATTCATAAGCAGGTGGGGCGGTGTTTCTGAGGAGCAGTAGAGTTTGGAGATGGGCCAGAAGAGGATCCTTCCTGCCAACCTCAGAGGACACCACAGTCTGGAGCAGAATAATGCCATTTGAGTAGTGGCAGGATACCCCTAATCCTCTCAGAGAACAGGAGGTTGGCAGGGGTCACTTCAGGGGGGCTGGTCAGGGTACATGGGTCCTGACTTGGTACTTGGAATTTGTTTTAATTGTCACAGAAAACCACTGAAGGGCTTTCAGCAGGGAAGGGACGTGATAAGATTTATGCTTTAAATAAATGACTCTGAGAGCTCTGTGGAGAGTAGAGTGTGAAGGGCAATGGTGAGATCACCGGAGAGGGAGGCAGAGGTTCTCGCAAGAGCTAATGACAGCTTAGACTAGGCTGGCCACAGTGGAGATGGTGAAGAGGAATCAGATTCGGGGATCTTTTGGAAGCTGAGTCAATGGCACTTGCTAATGGATTGGATGTGGCAAGTGAGGGAAAGCTAGTCATCAAAGACGGCTCCCAGATTTTGGCCTGAGCTGCAGGAGGTACAAAATGCTGTGCCTGGAGGAGGAGCAAGGAATAATAAAGTAAGCATTCTATTTGGTCCGATAAAAAGCTTAAAAAAGTTTTAATTTATAAAATTTCAAAACACACAAAAGTAGAGGGAGAGCAATAGAGCGAGCCTGCAGGTACTCACATTAAACTTCAAAGGCTGGGCTTCCCTGGTGGCGCAGTGGTTGAGAGTCCGCTTGCCGATGTAGGGGACGCGCGTTCGTGCCCCGGTCCGGGAAGATCCCACATGCCGCGGAGCGGCTGGGCCTGTGA